TGTGAAAACAAACTATAAATGATAACACATATTTAGTTTAATTAGCAGTAAATTATAAATAGAATATTTTTAATGCAGGTATATCTGTATATTGATATGTACGAGTATTTGTCAATCATTTGAATTTTCGATTTTGAAAAGAATTGTGTTCGATATTTTATATTTGTGACATTTTATTTAATCACTAGTTTTGGTATGTGCACATGTAAACTGTTGGGAAAATAAAATATTTTTACAATTTACTCGTCGGCGGCGTTATGATTTTAAAGCCTCGAATATAACGGTGCTTTAATATAGTGAGAAACGGTATTGTTATGCTGTTTCTCTGCGTGGAGCTAGCGCGGAGATAGAAGATGCTGGTGTGTATGGGTATAGGTTGTTCACATAATTATACAATAAAAAAAATGAGATTCATTTTGAAGTCGTCGTGGCTTAAAGCATAAGACGTTCAGGCAGGCGGTTACTAAATATTCCAATGAAATACGTACTTAACAAATTCTCACGATTGACTTCCACGGTGAAGGAATAACATCGTGTGATAAAAATCAAACCCGCAGAATTATAATTTGTGTAATTGCTGGTGGTAGGACCTCTTGTGAGTCCGCGCGGGTAGGTACCACCACCCTGCCTATTTCTGCCGTGAAGCAGTAATGCGTTTCAGTTTGAAGGGTGGGGCAGCCGTTGTAACTATACTGAGACCTAAGAACTTATTTCTGAAGGTGGGTGGCAGCATTTGCGCTGTAGATGTCTATGGGCTCCTAAAAGCTTCCTGTCACAGAGGTCAGGGCCTGAGGTCGACAACTAAATAGCAGTTATTCGAGGAGCTAAGTTGGTGTTCGTAGCCAGTTCCCATCCTTAGCCAAGGCTTTAGACGTCCAATTGAATAGAAATGCTTGTCACAACCGCAACAGTCAGGGGCGTACACCAGCGAGTCAGTATGTTTTGAGCTGAGAATTAATAACTTTCTAAACTTGACGTGTTACCGGTGCGTACGGCACAATGTCCGGTATAATCCGACCACAGAAAAAGTAAAAAAAAGCGACAGTAGTAATACGCGTGAACGAGCCCTATCTCTTGTCACTTAAGCTGATAGCCTTGAGAGGCTATATCTGCGTAACCGGGCGAGTAGGTGAGTTCACGGGGCTCGAACCGGGACTGTTTCTAACACTGGCCCTAGCAAGAGCAGTACTTCGCAGAATCTACCACTGGATCGGAAACGCGACCCATTGAGAAGATCCGGCGAGAAACTCAGTGGGCTGTGTCTATAGGTTAATTTACTCGCCGAGCCCTTCGGCGCAAGCGACGGGTTCGACGAGGACGGTGACCGGTGCCGGTCAACAGTTCTTCAAAAGTTAGGGTTTTGTGATAAATAATTTTATCTGGTATTGTATATCTCGAAACTTCGATCATATGCAATAGTTAGTGCCCGGGACTGATTATATAGTCGTTGTTCAAATGTAATTTTGAGACTACTCAATATTGACAGCGGTATGCAGTAATTGACACTTCCACCATTTCCGCTCGGAGAAGGTAAACAGGAATTCGGGATGATTTAATTGAAACCCAAATATATGTATTTTTAATGTTTTTTTATTACATATTCCATTAGAATACTTTCTATTATTTTTATTTATTGTACATGCTTACATCGCCATTCGGAACGCGCACCCATCCCTATTACAGAGGACTGTATCGTTCTACACATACAGAAGTAGGAGGGATCTATATCTACAAGAGAGTATTAAATTAAATTGAAGTTTTATTGATACGAATCGAAACAGTGAACATATTGACAGATGCTTAAATAAAACGAAATATGTGCGTTTTGATTTATAATTTGAGTTTCAGAGTTACATTCAGCTTTGTGTAGATTGAAAGGTTAATTCATTTCATTTTTGTCTCGCTTCTGTTGCCGAATTAGTGTTTCAGAGTGACGGGAATACTTTTCTTTCTTTAGGTATTTAATTTGTGAGGGAAACGAACTCAATTTTAATGAGCATTGATGTCCATCTGGTGAACTGAAGTCACGGCCCAAATGGGGTTAATTAGAACGAATCTACACTATAATTTTTCTACCGCTCGCATTTTAAGTTTAATAAAAATGAAAATTATTGAATTTCATAAATAAATTTACATTCTTTATATGACTATTAGTTTCAGGGACACGACCGTAATGAAGAAAGCAACGAAGAAGAATATAACTATTTGGGTGAATAAACTAAATAGTAAATGTACTTTATGAATGGATGGATTATTGTATGATAAGATTTCAATATACATTAAATAAATTTTAAATTCTTTTACGCTTACACTTTTATTTGTATGTTGTAGGTAAACATATCATCAAATCAATTTAATTTATTTCTGTTCGTATCAACAAATGTCAAAGCTCAAGAGGGAACCATCACTAAATCTTTAAAACTGTCAAAATCGCAACTGATTCCACACTGTCATTGTTACTTGACGTTTCAAGTTTCTAATGCATTAAAATTTGTTTAAAAATCATAGATGTAATTTGACATTTGCGTCTGACAATCTGATTCTGTCAAATTTTGTGACTGTCAAGTAAAACTGGCAGTGTGAAGCTCTATAAAGCGTCCTAAATAATTCTAAAGTTGTCTATGGTTTTTAATAGTGTGGCCGTACAGTCTATTGCGTATTCTACGACTTATTTGTAGTGGCGTCGATTAACCGACCAATAAAAATAAGATATTCTGTTTTGGTGTTTTCCATTTTGATTGTGGTCGGTTAATCTACTATCGTCGAGTGACTTCTTAGCATGTGGCATGAGAATCATAATAAAATTAGTTATTAAATCACCAGGAATCAAAGATTTTATTTCGGATGTAAATAAAAAAAAGACGTTGGTATATATTTGTATAAAAGTGGTTTAAAAAGTTCTTTCAAATTTGATAATATCCATATGGTAGGTAGCCACTCCGTTTATTGCTACATTACTCAAATATCGCACGATATTTATATTACATTTCGACGTAAATCTAAAAAAATAAAACAATATCATAACTTACACGGATTTTACATTATAAATAATTCAAGCGTAAGAGATATGTACAATTTTTTTTACAGATTACAATACAATAATTAAGTACCTATTTACAAATTAGAATTCTTTATACACCATTAAAAAAGATAACTATACTGTTTTTTTATTATATATCACCGCGAAATCAATAACTACATTCACAATAGATAATATATTCAATAATAATTATTATATATTTAAAAATTAAAAATACACCTTAATTAAATACCTAAATAAAGTTTAAGACGTATTTATTATTACAAAGTATTGCTTCGTTTAGTCACATTTTGCAAAAATATCACCATCGCATGAATCCGCCCGCACCGGCGGACCCAGGAGCAACCACAGCTGTATTTCTATTCCGACACCGTAACTTTAGATAAAATCAGTCCAAAATATTAAGTAAATAAAAAGGATAATGACTAATTTCATTACAAAAGAACAAAAAAAAGTTACAATTAAAAAAAAAGGGAAAATAACGAAATTCAAAAGAGTTTTGTTAAAAATTTTGATACTGATCCTGTCTAAAGTTTCACTCCATATGTAAAAATATCATCCATCATTATTCACTCAGTCACCTAGCAGTTAATTAGTACCACTAACACAGATTAGACACCACAATACAAATGAGACACATTCATGGACATATACTATAAAATAATTCTACATTAAAAATTACAAAAATCATCTCGCTGGCTTTTCTTTTTGGGAATAAACAGAATGTTGACCACCACGTAAACTTTTTAAATTGTTTTTTTTATTTATTTTCATAAGCTTCAACGGTAGATAAGTAACACGCGAGAGGTGAAGTATATTGAGGACGGCTGATGAAAAGTGTCAGTCTGATCTGACCTGTTCAGCGGATCGTTTGTGGGCTGCTTAAGGTTTAGAAATTTACGCAGTGCCTTAAATGAGAACGAAACTAAAGGGTTCAGTCTCTAAGAATGTTTGAAGCCAGCGAGAAGACGCCTAAACAGTTATTTAGTAGCCTACCTTTCGATTATTGCACAACACATGCTCAATGTACGTATTACCGTTCTCTGTACGTTTAAATACAATTTCTATACATTAATAATTTAGAGGCAGATCTACAGTGGGGCTAGTGAGAACTACTGAAAGAAACAAAGCTAAGTAAGATATGAAAGTTTGCTCGTCGAAATATCGACCTTATTCCTTTCAAGCATAGAGCATTAAATCATTTAAATTGAAAAATAATAATAAAATAATTCATTGGATTATATTATAAAAGATATAAAGATTATTGCTTAATAGATTCCATAGTATTGCGAAGTAAAAATGACCTTAGGTCTATAAAGGAACGACTACAAGAATAAAATATTCTTTAATACTATTTACAAACACCTAAATAGTATGGATAGAACGAAATATTTGGCTAAAACGTGATAGGAATACATGTGATAAATTAAAAACTACGTGATGTATTATGGGATTAACAATATTCTAAATTAATTAGGGGTTTAATTAAAATAATATCATTGATGAGATAAAACGAATTGTGATCGATTTGAGTATTAACGTTTTCATTTGTGTATTATATTATGTTCGGTTTGTTCGGTTTTTATGTTTTATTTTATTTATGACTCGGTACCCTGTAGTCTGTTGTCTCGAGATTCTGCTCCAGTACGATGAGATGAAAAAAACAAGCTAAAGTATTTACGCGTCGAAATACGTTAAGCGAAATGACGCATCGTATCGTTCGCTCGGCCAACCGTATCGTTTCGTAACCCTAACCTCTCTCACAACACTCAGTCCTACAGTCGTTTTAATATCCTATCTCAAACTTTGAGGTCTCTACCTCGTTCCCTTCCGACACACGCGTAATACAAAAATAATAATAACTTTTGAAGAATTGTGTGCTTAGCGCGAGTTGTTTAACGTTTTCGATAGCGTAAAAGTTAAGCCAATTTTGTATGCAGTTGGAACAGCGCCCCTAGCGGCAAACGTACACAAACGATCCCATTCCATACAAATATGAGCTAACTTTTACGATATCGAGAACGTTAAAAAACTCGCACTAAGCACACTGAACCCAGTCAAGGGGCTAGTTTCAGTTTTTCAATTCAAGATGGCGTCGTTTGACGTAGGCTTTAGGAAGTCACGAGCGGTGACGAGAGCGGCCACTCTTTCTTCGTTTCCTTCTCCCGTCGCGCACGAAGACAATGTTGGCCGGATCGTCGGCGAGCTGCGGGTACTTCGATATGGAATGGACGTCTCTCGCTGCCCAGCCGTCTACGATACCGTGTGAGATGAGTTCCTCCTTCTCTTCCTCGGTCCAGGAGCCCCGCCCTTCCCAGCCGGCCGCCACGAGAGCTTTCTCCCTCTCCCAAGCCCTAGTAGCGGCACGTTTGTGAGCGTGCTTCAGTAATTTGATTCGCTCTTGGGCCGGGTCGACTCCGTAACGGAGTACTATGACAGCTTGAGCAGAGCCCTTACCCACAGCGTGAACCCGGACCTGTAACGGAAACGTTAACAATGAAGTACTTATAGAAACTAGAGGTCCCGCAGTAGTCGAAATTCGACTATAATTGATTGGAATTGTAAGTTTGTACACCATTATGATTGTATTATATACTTCTATAATCACAAATTTCGCCAAGACTACACTGTAAAAAAATATTAACAAAGACAAACAACATTTAATCTATTCTCAATTTGACCACAGACGTCAAGAACAAAAGTTTGACAATAAATAGTATGCATGCGTGTGTGCGTCAAATACATGGTACGTAGTGTGTGTAATGTTTTCTTTATTGATTTAATGTATCTTTTGTGCATTATTTTAAAAAAATATTAGCATTGTGCACTTCTTCTCTATATTCTCTACAAGTGTGGAAAATTTCATACTCCTCCGTCCGCGCAATTTTCGTAAAAAGGGATACAAAGTTTTTGCTACACGTATTAATATATAGCTAGAACAAAGTTGAGCAAAGGAACCAACTAACACTGACCTCTAGTCCCTGGTCGTTAGTTTCGTCTTGGGACACGTTGAATTTCCCCGACAGTCGCCTCAGTTCCTCCATGTCGTCCCGGATCTTAAGTGAATTATCCTTCACGAAATAGAAGACGTCCTGGTCGTGGATACTGAAGTGCACGTCCAAGAAGTAAGAGTTGTTGAAGACAGTCGTGATAACGTCTTCGACGACGCTGTTGGCTCCGTCCGCGACGCTTATAAACGCTCTGCCGTCGACCCTCGAGATGAGAACGCCTTCACCAAATACACCACGCTTGTATGAGACTCGCGGCAGAAGGTTTCTTGTGATGGGCTCCATCTTGAGTAAGGGTGTTGGTACGAATTCTATGTCAGAAAGCTTGTCGTTGACCTAAAATAAAAAAAAGTTTCAAAACAAAACCTAGTTGTTACTTAACTTTTAATTAAAGAGTTGACAAAACAAAAATAATGAAAAACCAAATTTGAAATTTAGGAACATTAATTTGCGTAACATTTCGCCGCACAAGCTGTGGTCTCAATGATTGAAAATTTTGAATGATTTCATAATTACCTTTTCAATGATACATTGTAGTCCGGACATCACACCGAAATCGGGTGCCAATTGCGCCGCAGTCACTGACGTCATCGGCTGGAATATCATGTCGTTGATGTATTTAGATCCCATCATTTTATTGAGATCGTATCCGTAGAGTTGCAGCCAGCTATTCAGGCTGGTCATGTACGGAACGTTCTGCTGTTTGTTGATTGGATCGTTGTTCTTGAATCTATATATGAATATGTCTGTTGGGAGACTCAGTTTCGTGGCCAGGTGTTCCCAACTAGGTGTCATCCATTGTCCCACTACGGGATCGTAAAGTCTGTTCTCCAAATATATCAAGTTGGTGTTATAGTCAAATATGCCGCCGTGGAAATCTACAGGTACGTAGAAACTTGGGTTGGAGTCCTTGATGATCTTTCCGAACGGACTCCGCTTGATTTCCTTTACAATATCGCCCTTTACATCAAACACGGCTAGAGGCGATCCATTGTGGTCTGTAGCTACGTAGAACCTTTGTTCTTCTGTTTCAATGCACGTTAGGAAGTCTCTCTGATCGTACAGTAGTCTGACGGTCTTTTCCGTTTTAGGATGGTGCATGTGCGTAATCAGGGTCGGCGTTTGGGGGTTGGCGTAGAAGAACTGTGTTATATTGTTTTTGTCGTCCTTCCAAGCAACTAGCCGGCTTCTGTCGTCGTAGTAGTACCACGTTTGGAACTTGTCTCTCTCGAACGCGTGTACGAACTGCCCTCGCGAGTTATATCGGTACTTCTGCTCCCCGCGCCTCACGACGAAGCCGCGGCCGTCGTAGCTGCTGAACTCGACGTCACCGTACTGGACGACTCGGTCGCCGATGTCGTAGCCGAGATAACGTTTCTCGCCGTGCTCGATAATGCCAATGACGTTGCCGTTCTCGTCGTAGTTGTATTTAAGGTCGTCCTCCGAGCCGACCACTTCCATCAGATGCCCGTCGTAGTTGTAGCTTATTCGTTCGCTGAAGGCGGTGTCGCCGATCATGAGCTTCTTCGTTTTGATTCGATTTCTCGCGTCGTATTCTAGTTCTAAGCGGAAGACGTCAAAAGCTTTGATGTTAATTAAAAATGTTTTTATTCTGCCGTGGTCGTCGTAGTCGGTAATAGTGAAGAACTGTTTACTGGTGTCTTGCATGACGGTGCGATTGAACGTGTTCCTGTAGATCCTCAGGTCGCTAACCGCCTCAAGGCTGCCGAGGTTTTGATTGTATTTCAGCCTTAGCTGCGGCATTTCCTTGCTATTGATGTTGACATCAATTGTAGAAAGCCTAGCGTTACCGTCGTATTGATACTTGAAGTGTGCGTTATTGAGGCCGCTTTTTGAATTGAATTTCATTTTCGCATCTTTCAGTATTCCCGCGTGGTATTTGTAATCTTGTTTCAAGTCGTAATCTGGATCGGATATCTCAACGTTTTTAACTAGGTGCGTATTATCGTGGTACACGTAGCGTATAGCTGAGGCTCCAGCTAAGACCGTCTCCAGTTTACCGGTGCCGTCGTATACGTAAAGGATTTTCCCGGATTGATGAGGGAATATCTTCGAGAGAATATGTCCGTCGTCATTGTAAAATATTTCGTATGGGTGCCTGTTCATCGGAGAGAAATACTGGTACTTGAAATATCCGAGTGATGTCATGAGAGCGAAAGTGTGAATATGGCCCCGTGGAGTGGTGAGATTTTGCAGTGCCCCAGACTCATCGTAATCCAAAAGGTAATCGCTTCCTCTTGGTGTGGTTACTTTCAACGGAAGACTAGTGAACATATCTCTAAATGAGTAAGCCAATGAAGAACCATCGCCATATCTTATCTCGTGTAATCTTCCCGCTCTGTCAAATCCATAGGTTTCGTTCAAATCGCCCCAGCTCCAACGTGTTAATCTATTGAATCTATCGTATTCTAATTCCACTTCAGAGAATATGCCACTTCGCGGGCCCCACTTAACTGGTCTGGCGGTTCTGTCGTAAGTCACATTCAGGAGTTCGTACTTATCGTCCATGAAAACTGCGACTGTAGAGGTATCTCTGTCGTACTCAAGCGTGAGTAGGTTCTCACCGTTCACTCTCAGCTTACGGCCAATCTGAGCGACGGCCTTGCTGCTCTTTCCTTTGCTTGACATCAGTCTTCGCAAGAAGTAGCGCCATTCGAATCGGTTAGCCAAGTCGCCGCCGACTTCAGTCCTTTGTTTAGCCGGTACTGGATAGCTCTCTCCTAATATTGGGTCGATTTCAGCTAAAATTGTGTAAGGAACAGTATCAGTTGAGATAACATGTCCCCAAGGCATGCTAGAAGAAATGCTACCGTCAGTTGAAATTATCGTTTTCTTTTCTGCTTCCCCGATTTTGGTATTCACAGAGGATCCCTTGATTAATATGGAGACTGGTTTTCTGTTATTTTCACTCACACGAACAATCGCTCCTTTGAGTCCGAGATCGAAGGTCAGGTTTATGATTCTACCGGTCGGCGTCACAGCCGACGTCAGTCTACCGAACTCATCGTAGTTGTAGATGTAGCTGCGTCCAGTGCTGTCGTATTTGGATTTGAGAAGCCCGGTTGTGCGATGATAGTCGAATGTAACATTAAAGTTATCCGGGGTGCGGAGTTCTTGGAGCATTTTCATCCGGGACATTTTGAGTCTGCACTTTTGACCTTTCGTATTTTCGATCGAATTAACGAGGCTGGAATAATCTCGAAGCAAGAACACTTTATTCCCGGCGGCGTCCGTGACAGTACTCAGCTTACCGTTCCTCGTGTTTACGGTATACGTGAATACGTAGTTGTCTTCTCCTGTCAGAATGTTTTTGGTCATCACGTGCTGACCGAATCTGTTAAATATGTATATTTCTTGAGTATCCGGTGAGTATATTTCGTATTCTCTTGTTCCGCTAGCATCAGGAATGCTCGCCATCACCGATCGAATCCTGTAATTGGCCTGATCGGCAATGTGGACAATACCATCAGGACTGACAACCACCGCTGAGATAGTATTGAATTTTGAATTGGACGCTAAGAAATGATCGGCTTCGAAGCAGTCGCAGCCTCTTTCTAAGCAATTACATTTAGACTCGGCTCCGGCGTACAAAGATATTTTGCCATCAGTAGTGATCAGTCTAACTCTATTGATTCTCTGGGAGTCACTTTCTGCTACGTACAAATCCCCTGCTGCTCCGAATGCGATGCTTTGAGGCATCACCAATGTAGCATATGTAGCCAGTTCCATGTCGTACCCGCTTACTGGTGCGGGACAGTGCAAGGGTCGTCCAGCGATCACTTTGACTCTCCCATCAGGTGCCATTTGCAGTATCATGTGGTCATCTATTATGTGCAAGCTGTTATCTAAAGGATTGATGGCTAGTTCCGTTGGCCAGCGCAAGTGAACTTCTTCAACACTCAGAGTCCCCTCACAAGGGATCGGTTTCCAGTGGGCCCTATGCATATGGTTTCCGATTACAGTTGTGATGATTCCGTCACGGTCTACCATACGGATGTTGGTGCCATCCGCGAAGTAAAGAACGTTGTCCACTGAAACGGCCACGCCTTTGGGGTAAGCGAGCTTGGCGTCCCTAGCCAATGCACCGTCTCCGCAGTGCGCTTCGTCTCCAGGAAGGCATCTTTCACCAGACCCAACTACAGTTTCCCAGTTATGTTCTGGATCGCTGAAGTCTTCGGTGTTGTGGACCTTGATGATCTGGTGTGATTCAGGGTCGGAGATGTAAAGCGTCCCGTCCAGCGGTGAGAGCGCCATGTGGTAGCGGTAAGAAACACGAGTGGCGCTGTGGACAAGGAAAGAACTATAGTGACGGTTCACATCGAGTATTTGTTTATTTTTATACTTTAAAAGATGCAAGTTTACTGTTGGTGTTGCGATGACTTTCCTGTATAATTAACATGTTATATTGGGACTTTCACTCACACATTTCTCTTTCCCTTAAAGGGAAGATATATAAGACCTTAATAAGGCTTGCCGTCTTGTATGGATCAGCTTGTTGGACCACTAAAATGACGGATGAAAGGCGATTGAATGCAGCAGAGATGCGAATGTTGCGATGGATGTGTGGAGTAATGAGAATGGATAGAATATGAAATGAATATGTTAGAGGAAGTCTGAAAGTGGCACCTGTGACAGAGAAGCTGTTGAGAAGTGCGCGTTTGTGATGGTATGGACATGTGATGAGACGAAATGAAAGTGAGGTTGGTAAGAGAGTGTTAACTATGAATGTGGAAGGATATAAAAGAAAAGAGATAGACCTAAGAAGAAATAGATGGATTGCTTGAAAGAATACGTTAAGTGGTTAACGGATACCCATACACATCAGAACCTGAGATCATACATACATCTCGAGACATGAATTTGAAATCCAAAGGTTTTGTGATTAATTGATTTATTTTTTAAATCAGTTCCGCGAACATGCTAGTTACATTACTCACTTCAATTTGACCAGAGTCCGCACGGTGCCATCGGTATTGATCTTCCTGACCAGGTTGAAGTCTCCGACAAAGATGGACCCGTCAGGAGCGGCGGCGAGCGCGACCGGAGCCAGTAGCCTCTGTTTAGTGGCCGGCCCGATGCATTCGGAGCCGCACTCAAGCTTACGCTGGCGGCCGTCTCCCATTGTGGTGATGATGAGACGAGGCTTGTGCTTCAGGTAGATGTTGGTGCCGTCGCCTTTTTGGAGTATACCTGGAGTTAAAGCAAACGCTACAGTAATTCCGAAAGCTGTAATGAGAATTTTGTACTCTTGGCATTTTCACAAAGTTGCATCTGTGATTTTAAAGATACCGAGTACCGTAAAAGTGTTGCTAGTGATGTTAAATTGCGTACAAAAAATCTGTAGATGTTTTTCATTAGTGTACGGTTGTACACTGGTCGATCGTGGCTATTAGTTCAGTCGATAGTGGCAAGACAAAAAATATAAATATATAGAACAGACTGCGCAACGTAATCACCAATTGCTGCACGCATCATCTTCATCTTGTATAATTTGTTAATGACCATTATGTTATTTATCCTCTCATCTACACAATAGTTCTCTTTTATTATATAATTTCAGGTTAATTTTAATCTTTTTAGTTATTTGACTTCTTTTTTTTTTACCTAAGCTGATGATAGCCTTGACAGGCTATATCAGCGTCGCATTAACTAGTAGGTGAGCTCACGGGGCTCAAACCTGATGACGTTGCTAGCACGAACTAACCCTAGCAAGAGCCGTGCTTTGCAGAATCTACCACCGGATTGGAAACGCAGCCCACTGAGAAGATCCGGCGAGGAACTCAGCAGGCTGTGTCTGAGGGTTAATTTACTAGAACGTTAGAACGATGACCGGACTTATTTGTATAATACATTGAACTACATTGTTTGTTGTTGAAATGTCATTAGTAGATCGCAGAGTGTCTCGTCAGTAGATGTAGATCTTGGTTCTAATCAAGTTGGCCACCCCTGGTGTACAATGTTACCTCTGTCGCACCATTGACCATGTTACACGTGTGAATCACAATTTAGTTATATTATATTGAAAATTTCATACAGCGTTATGTCTGTATGATACTGACCTTCATGGAAATTGTATCTATGATGTATATCCAGGTTCCAGCCACCAACATCAGATATGCTCATATCGTGGCCGCTCAACTTTGTCGTTTGCACGTTCCATATGATGTCCTTGCAGTCCGTGTACTGATAACCGACTTTGACCAGAGCCGTGGTCACTCCGTACACTCTTTGACGGTACACATTAAGACGATTCCACGAGTAAGTGAATTTTATGATCGGATCTGCTTCAAAAGTCTTCTCGAAGAGGATTCCCTCGATGGTGATGCGCAGGTGGATAAGGGCTAGAGTCGGTGGAACTATTTCGGGGGTGAGCTGAAGTTGTATGGTGGAGAGGTAGCCGGCTGCGCGAGAGCTGTGGTATACCAGGTTTAAGCCAGTTCCTGGTATCTGCAGACTTTCCTGGACCACCTAGAAATGAATTAGTGTTGTTTTGAATATTTGATTCGAAGTGCCATCCACCCGTTATGAACATGGCCTACGATTAAAGTTACTTTTATAGTTTTAAACTCAGATTTATTGTTGAATTTCTGTAATAAGCCGTAGAGGCAGATTTTTTTAATCACGAGTACCATACCCTTCGGTTTGTACGATATGGTATTCATTCTGTTAATAAAATCGAGATTCCAATTTCATGTTCCAAGTAGATGGTGATCTAGATGTCGATTTTTTATGACTATCACAAAAAGACGGTCTATGCTCCTACAAGTGAATTAATCCTAATATATGTATCGATCGCTAGGTCTCGTACCTGTGATTCGGCCAGTATAGCGCTTTTATCTGGACAAGCGCCCTGGAATCCATGTTTCCACGTGGCAAGAACAACGGGTTTCATCATATCGTAGTCGTGAGCCAAACACGCCTGAGGAGGTCCCATGCCCGTCTTTTCGTCAGCTGTGGTCATAACCACTTCTTCGATGATCACCACCTGAAAACCACAACTGCTGAAAAACAACCTTTCCCAGAGATTGATATCAGGGACTGGTATTTCTCACTTTATCGGTAATTTATCATAAACACCATCAATAAAGTGGATTAAGTCTTATGTATTCTTATGTAGTTTACACTGGTTGTACGGCGTATTGTTATCCCGCTAGAGTATGTACCACTGCCCTGCCTATTGGTGACGCAAATTACTCATTCGTGAGACACTATTGAGACTTCGATCTCACGGTGATTCATCTGAAGGTGGGGGCGATTTTTATGTTGTGATGGTTCACGAGCTTCGTCCATTTATTTGGTGTAAATAGACGAAAATATTAAAATTAAAATGTCTTTCTGAACCACCTGGTGGTAAGTCACAGTTACTTGTGTGTAACTGTGACAGGTACAGCCAAGCCACTTTATTCTGAAATAATTTAAGTTCATCACGGTTCTTCTGATGCAAAAGACACATTACAGACCTACGCTTTAAGCAATCAATGCATCTTTTCGTCCTATGTTTTATTTTGAGCCTAATCAATACTTTAAACACAGCCTTTCTTTTGTAAAGTGATTTATTGTTTATAAATTGGAGGCATGAACGCATATTATAAGTGAATATATAAATAATTTTAAAAATTGATCTTACTTCATTCCACGGCACGAAGACAACTTGTGTGGACCTTTTGAACGGCGATCTACCGAAGTGCAAGGTCACAGCTCCGCCTCCATTAACCAGGAGGTCGAACCAACCATCCTCCCTCGTCAGAGTGAAGCCTTCCAAAGGAGTAGACGTCGAGACCCTGACTCCGACTAATCCAGAACCCAAGGTCGTGATCACACGACCACGGATCACCGCTGAGCGACTGTAATATAAATTTTCAAGATTCAGTTGGGAGTTAGTTATCGTTTTTGTGTGACTGAAATGTGTGTGGATGACATTATTAAATCGTCTGGGTACAACGAAAGTGTGATAAAGAACGATTCAAACGAAAGTGCAACCAATGTTGCGTATTAAGCATTGCTTTTCTCAATTTCACTTAGTATTCGCAGTTTGCAGATTTTCAAGAACAGTTTTGGTTAATTTTTTAAATTTATAAAAGTCGATGTGTGTATGCTCCATTAGACTCTGAAACGGTTGGACCGATACTGATGAGATTTTCAACAAATGTTCATATTAGGGTGATCTTGTGAGGTATGGTATCGATCGGATCAAGTTCAATGCAAAGATCGACTAATAAAGCGAGCTGAGTTTGACTATTTTTCTATAAAATCTAAGTTTAAATGATTTTTTTTTAATTGTGATTGTTAATCATTTATTTTATATCAATACTGTGGAAAGAATACAAAAAATCCTATTAACAATCATGATAAAAGTCTAAATGTTATATTGACTAATTAAGTACTTTTTTACTGGTCTATGGTCTACTCTAATGTGAGATGTGATCTCATATATCTAATTATTTAGTTGTGATAGAACATTTCTATTTCCATTGTGAATTACATTGTGTATCGTTTTGTTCTAAATCAATACATAACAAACATTTAAATAAAAAAGCTCAACACAAATTCACAGGACACAAAAAACATATATACATATTATTATGACAGATACATGCAACGATTATTATAATGCATTAAATTAGTACTATTTTAAGACAACAGAGACGGATTTAAGTTTTGGGTGTTCACGATGGGAATCACGGAAATACCCAACACTTAATATTATACTTTTTTTCGATAATTAAATCTTAAAACCGTCTCCACATAAAATAAATAAACATATTATATAAAAATGAAACCTACAAATATAAATATGTACATATAAGTATTTATCACACACTGCTGCTCTTGAAATTTCTTACCTCGTGTTGAAGTGATTCCAAAACATACTGGGCAGCGTTAGGGAAACCGAGAGAAATGACATAGTATCAGTTAGTAGTCGTTTTTGTTCGTCTATTGTTAATTTAGAAGAAAGTAAAGACATTAGTAGCCATTCTGGTGCCTGACATGCAGTGCCAATCGCGCTTTGATAAATAGATCGTGACGTAGCCAGTTATTACAGACATTATGGTATTTAAAATTTTATTAACTTATAAATAGATGAGTTAAAGAAAAATTGTTAATTTTAAAAGTGAATTGTGCGTTGAAGATTGTGACGTTAGTAAGAAATGTGGTGAAAAAATTTTACACCGACAAATGACATGGGAAAAAATTAGTTCTTGAACAACTAACGAGAACAAAAATTGACGAAAATCTAACAACAAATATGAAGATTTTTGAATAGATAAATAAAACTGTCTTTTTACTGGCTACATCCCTGTATATCGACGTAATTTATTATTAAAAATCAAAGATATATTTAATATTGTAACGTGTAAAGAAATTAAATAAAAGCATCGTGTAACGCTGTTATGTAAACAAAACATTTGGGATCGACTGGGGCACAACATTGCGTTTTATATAACAGACATATTAGGTTATTTGTTAAATTAACCTTGGTTGTAAGAACTATTTCACATTTCGTGGAAGTGCAATCATCAAGTTACACAATTGTTTTACTTTATAATTTACTAGATCATTTTAGAGATCATTCAAGAATCATTGTATTAAGCTTTATGATTTATTTATTTTCTTCGTAAAACATGTGAAATAGTTCTTTGTTTTATTAGACATTTTCAACGAACAGACAACAGTTAAACATCGAACACATAAACTCACCTTTCGTTGAACGTCTCTTGTTTCGCGTAATTTTGCAAACTACCCTCGTCTATGAGGAATTTCATTCGCTCGAAGAACGACGCGGTTATGGCAGGCGGCTGCTTCCGGAGCAAAATGTCTGTGGGTTTGGGTGACGACACGCAGAGCTGACTGCTCTTGCAGGCTGGACTCTGACAGCACTCTGGATCTTCGCAGTCCACTAGTCCGTCTGATGAAGATAGGGAACGTTCCATTTTTATTAAATATCAGTGGGCATTTTTTTTATTTATTGCTTATATGGGCGGGCGAGCTCACCTGGTGTTAAGTGGTTACTGAAGCCCATAGACATCCACAACGTAAATGCACCACCCACCTTGAAATATAAGTTCTAAGGTTTCCAGTATAGTTACAACGGCTGCCCCACCCTTCAAACCGAAACGCATTACTGCTTCACGGCAGAAATAAGCAGTGCGGTGGTACCCACCCGCGCGGACTCACTAGAGGTCCTACCACCAGTAAGGGCATGTAAACCTTTTAGGAAAAATGGGATTTTAAGCCTATTAAGTTCCAAGTCGAAGTATAATAGACATAATTAAGGATCCTTACTAAAACTCCAATAATGTAACCCAAGGTGTAAAAATATTACCTAAAATATTCTTTACATTGCGTGCCCTGCGAAAACTATTGACGATAAAATAAATTAATGTACTACGATTTTGTAGAACACATTACTATTTACAAAAAGTGTCGCAACAGCGTCTAATTATTATAGTTATGCCGCAATAAGTGTTCTTTTATTTAAAAAAATAAAACAGCGTCGTTGAAATTTGCTAGATGGAGCGACGACCTGCGCAAGGCAGCTGGTAGTAACTGGATGCGTAGAACCGAAGATCGGGTTCAGTGGCGAGTTTTGGGGGAGGCCTATGTCCAGTAGTGGACTGCCGCAAACTGATGATGATGAAGATGTTGAAATTTTTGTTAAAGACCCGAGCGGAGTTGGAGCGGATCGCTAATATCGAATATAGAAAAAAAAAACCTTTATCATTATCCCTGGAGTCGTCGCAGATCTGTTCTTTGAGCGTGGTGCAGTCCGGGCCGTCCCAGCCGTCGAAGCACTTGCACTCCCAGCGGCCGTCGTTGTCCACGCGGCACTGTCCGTGGCCGGCGCAGCTGCGCGGACACCCTTCCAGCGTGCAGTGTCGTCCGTTCCATCCCGACACGCACAGGCACGTGCCGTTCTTGCACTGGCCGTGTTCAGCGCAGCGCGCGTCGCACAGCCGCACCGAGCAGAACTCGCCCGACCAGCCCGCGGCGCACGAGCACGACTCCCCAACGCAGCGCCCGTGCGGACCGCATTCCAACGAACACACTTCTGCAAACACAACGTTACCTTCAATTTAGCAATATTAAAACGAAATGAAATGAATTTGAATTCATCGTGGCCTAGAAGATAAGATGTCCGATGCATTCGTGTTGAGCGATGCACCGGTGTTAGAATCTTGCAGGCGAGTACCAATTTTTCTACTGAAATATGTACTTAACAAATGTTCACGATTGACTTCCACCCGCTCTTCCAACCCGCAAAATTATAATTTGCGTAATTACTGGTGGTAGGACCTCATGTGACGCCGCGCGGGTAGGTACCATCACCCCGCCTATTTCTGCCGTGAAGCAGTAACGCGTTTCGGTTTGAAGGGTGGGGCAGCCGTTGTAACTATACTGAGACCTTAGAACTTATATCTCAAGGCGAGTGGCGCATTTACGTAGATGTCTATGGGCCCCAGTAACCACTTACTGGAAGAACTTCTCTTTGTCGTTGCTCTCAAACTTGTATTGACGTATGTTTAGTAATAGTATCTTTAAAATTATCGCAAGTAGATGATCTCCAAAAGATATCCCTTGTTTTTTTGTTAACATTCTGTCATCGGATTACCGAACTAATGTAAATGACGCCATCGATCTTGAGAGATGAGTTCTATCTATCTCAGTTTTATAGTACAACGGCTGCCCAACCCTTCAAATCGAAACGCATGACTGGGCGAATCGAAACGCACTGAACAGAAATGGGCAGGGTGGTAGTACTTTCCTGGGCGGATTCCTAAAGCATCCTACCACCAGACTGGGCCATAGGTATCATAAAATCAATTTAATAACCATAGTATTTTATACCTTTAGAGCAGTCCTCCCCGGACCACTTAGCGTGACAAGAGCAAGTCTGTGTATCTACGTCAAAGGTTCCGTGTCCCGAACAATCCGGCAAGCACTGCAAAGCGTCCTTATCCATAGTCCCGCAATCGGCTCCTTTCCATCCTTTCTTGCAGACGCAGGTTCCTTCGATGCAAAACCCGTGACCCGAGCACGTCGGGTGGGGACAGTCGATCTCGCCGCAGAACTTCCCCTTGTATCCTCTGACACAGGAGCACTTTCCGTTGACGCAATGGCCGTGCCCGTTGCAGTCCGGTACCTCGCATTCGTCGTGTCTCAGTGAGCATTCCTTCCCTTTCCAGCCCGGGTTGCATTGACATTCGCCGTTGATGTACTCGCCACGTTGGCTGCAGAGGACAGGGCACACACCTGAAACGTAAAAAAGATGTGGTTTTGATTTGCTGTTATTAACTGTAGACATTTCTGTTGTGCAATAGCAATATCATTCCATTTTCGTCGTTTGATGTCTTAAGAAAAAATTCTCCAAATTATCTTTATTTCTTTCATTCTATTAGACTGCTTATAGCTTAATACTTTAAATATTTTGAAGTCGTCGTGGCCTAAAGGATAAGAAGACGTCCGATGCATTCTTATCTATCGATGCCACGGTGTTCGAATCCCGCGGGCGGGCACCAATTTTTGTAATGAAATTACGTATTTCAACAAATGTTAATGATTTACTTCCACGGTTAAGGAATAACATCATGTAATAAAAATGAAATCCGCAAAAATATAATTTGTGTAATTACTGGTGGTAGGACCTCTTGTGAGTCCGCACGGGTAGGTAGAACCACCCTGCCTATTTCTGCCCTGAAGCAGTAATGCGTTTCGGTTTGAAGGGGGGGGGGGGCAGCCGTTGTAACTATACTTGAGACCTTAGAACTTATATCTCAAGGTGGGTGGCGCATTTTTAGATGTCTATGGGCCCCAGTAACCACTTAACACCAGGCGGGCTGTGAGCTCGTCCACCCATCTAAGCAATACAAAATAAATTAATAAATAGCACGTATGGCTTTCTGTTGTGCAATAGCAATATCATTTTATTTTCTTCGTTTGATGTCTTAAGAATATTGAAGGATTTTTAAAAGTCATGTTCATTTCTTTCATTCTATAACATGGCTAGTTTAATACTTTAAACATGAAATACTCACTTTTGCTGCAATCGTCGCCTCCGAAGCCGGGCTGACATTGACAATGGCCCATCAGGCACTCTCCTTTTCCAGAGCATCCATTAGGACAGTTGTGCGTCATTTCTTCAGCTACCAATGCAACGAACGAGATCTCCTGAGGGTCGCCGTCATCGTTGTACAAAGAAAGGAACCAGGGTCCTTGTTCCATATAATGGGTTACCTCTTTCTTTACGGATGGCTGTAAGATTTATAGATTATTATAGTTTTAAACCCTTGTTGTCTTACTGTATTTTTTCATAGGATCAATGTGGAATCAGATACTCATGTATAAATATCTATACAATATACTGTAAAAACTGAGACCTTAGGATGTCTTTAGGTGGAATTTAAAACCAAGTGGGCCGGGAGTTCGTTCAACCATCAAAAATGAATTAAGCTATGAAATATTTTAATTGAAAATCTGTCGTTATTAAAACAGTCATGTTATATATTAATGTGAAAATAATCTTGGTAGTTTATGTAAAAATAATTAAGCCGTATTACTTACATACGAGGCTCTCGTAGTCCGAGCCTTGAATCCGGTCAGGACCTCTAAGAAGTTATACTGAGTGTGCGTTGGCAACGCGTTTCTCCTCGCGTAAACACCAATCGACGCGCCACGCGGTATCAAGTAGTCGAAATTCACGTACGAAGACTGTGATTGATAGAACTGCATGTTCCAATAACTATATGGAGGGATTTCTTTTGATAATTTTTCGCCTAAAGTTATTTGTTTGAATGTCGTTCCGTCTGGCGGGAACGACTGAGCAGGAAAGGTCCGCCCACCTATAAAGTTTATCAAGTGTTTAAATTTAATTAATAGGCATGCTCATATCATTTTGTATTAAACATGCGCTAATGTGATGAGGCATTCAAATTAACCAACGTAAAACATTTAAACTGAACTGACTAACATTAAACATTAATCCTTTGAGGTCCAGGATATGTATTGGATATTTAGTCTTACATTACGTAAGTCTTAGGACCGCGAAGGGTTAAAGTAGTAAAACACAGGCACATCTATTGAATTCAACAACAACTACTATCAAAATCTATAGGTACTAACACATGCACATTTTTCTCCTTAATTTGTCAACGACCGATTTCATCATGCAAGTTAAATTGTTAGGTAAAAGAGTTTGTTTTATGACCCCATAGAAACCCTAAGCTGTGATGGAAATTGGCGATGGTTAGTAAGTTATCAATGATTTTGACTGAACTTCAATAACCTCACCTTCTAATATTAGAATAATGGGAGGATTAACTTTTGGGCAGACACATTGTGTGACTTCTGTGGTCGAAGCTTCAGGATATGTTGTCGGTTCCATTGTAGAGTCTGTATCAATGAGGTCAGTCGTTGATAGAGTTTCTGTGGTTGTTTCCGGATTTGTTTCTGTTTTGCTTTCAATTGGTTCATTTTCTGTCGTTGTTTCTATCGGTGTACTATCTACACCCTCAGTTGAAGCTGGAATACTTTCCGTTGTACTAGATTTGTCTGTGTAATCATCATAAAAATCATCTGTGTTGTTAGAGCCACAAATCGGGCAAGAACATTCACAGATTCCACCCCAATCTTCAGTGTTCTCAATCGTAGCGACTTTTGGTACTTCAGTTGTTGTGTTAACTTGATTACTTATTCCATCTAGTACAACAGGTTTATCGAATTTCATGGACTGCGTTGGCTGAACGTCCATTGGAGTAATTTTGACCGTAGGTAACTCATTCGGGGCTCCTACAGTTGGAACTGTTACTGTCAATGAATAAAGCGGTTTATAGGACGAATCGGCGTCATCAGCTGATATTGTTAGATTAATTAAAACGTGTTTAGGATTAGTCACATCCGAGGTTCTCGCTTCAGCTATATTTACAGTCGGTGTTACATTTTCATCCGACGCTTCCTGCGTGGCTGTTGTTGTGGTTGTGATAAGGTTATTGGTAGTAAAAACACTCGGTGCTGGTGTAGTAGTGACAAACTCGGGTGAATTAAATTCATTCTGCGTGACAGCCCTAACTATTGGTGTAGTTATTACTGGAGTCTTAACGGTTATTTCACTGGTTAAAGATGTTTCTGTACTTGTTTTAGTTTGAATCATTTCAGGTGTTTCAGTATCAGCTATTACTTTTACAGTTGATGTTGTTTTAGGAACAGCGTCAATTTTGTCATTATTGTCACTATCATAATGAAATTTATCTAAATTCTTGTCAATTTTCACCGTATCGTTGTAGATATGAATTTTTTGATACGCCTCTCTTAGTCTCTCTAAAATTTTAAGGTATTGACGCTTTTGATTACCGTATGCGTATATAGATGGGAAAGCGTCCCCTTGCATGTCGTCTGGATCGTAAGCAATATCCTCTTGTTCTCTTTTTGTTGCCATAGTGAATTTTTCGAAAACCGGAATTTCAATTAGTCGGTTAACATGTAATGGTTTAGTTTTGTCTGTTACATCATCAGCATTATCAAAATTTTCATTCAAATTAATAGCACTTGTAACTCTTACAGTCGAACTAGGTACCGTTGTTATTTTGTCGTCGTCACGCGTTGTAAGCGATCCCTTGGTTAGATCACCGGTATTAGCAGACACAAAAGCATTAGCATCCCCATTTTCTTCACTTACTTGAGCGGAAGTGGTCGACGTCACACCATGCGGCAAGCTAACAGTGGAAGGCGGAGAGATATCATGCACACTATTTACAGCAGTGGAAAGATCCATAGTAGAGATAGGTTGTACAGAAGCATGCCCTTCTACATCTACGCTCCTACGGTGTCGGGAATGGTTTTGCTCGTTACCTAAGCTCGACGAGGACGAGCCCTGATGAGGTCTCGCGAGAGATTTGTTGCTCGCTTCGAGAGTGGTCGCTTTCGAAGCCGAGAACATCTCCGTCGATTCGCCAACTATAACTGTGCACGCTTTCGAGTTTTGATATGACCAGTTGACGAAGTAAGATGCTGTGGGCAATAAGATATTAATTACGTTTACGTTTTTAGTAAAAAAATCTTATCTATACTAATATTATAAAGAGAAAAGATTTCTTTGTTTGTTTGTATTGAATAGGCTCCGAAGCTACTGAACCGATTTGAAAAATTCTTTCACTGTTTGGAAGCTACACTATTCCCGAGTGACATAGGCATCTTTTTTGAAAAAAAATTGGGATCCTTACTAAAGCTCCAATAATGTAACCCAAGGTGTAAAAAAATACCTAAAATATCCTTTACATCGCCTGCCCTGCGAAAACTATGGCACAGCATATGTCTAACTATTATAGTTATGCCTAGTTAACTAATTATGCAATAATAGTTCTTTTATTTAAAAAAAAAAACAACGTCAAATATCGTTGAAATTTTTGTTAAGTATCCGAGTGGAGCCGAAGCGGGCCGCTAGTATATTATGATGCAATTAGAAAAAAAGGCACCGTGGTTGAAACCAACTTTAAATTTACAGTTTCATAATATATAGTATATACAGGTTTTGAGCAGAAGACAGGGGTTTGGCTGTATTTCTGACATTGCTCATATCCATCCACGAGTGACGGTGAACACTTACATTTAGGTGGCCGTGTATTCGTGAAGCTTCTAATGTATAAAAAATTAAAGTGTCTCGTTTTACAAGACCGAAAAAACCTATTCCATTTTCCGGTGTGAACAATTTATCTAAAAAAAATTTTTGGGCCCCGTTTCTCTGTCGTTAGATACTACAGAAAATAATAATCAGACTTTCTCACTTATATTCGTGTTATATTATTGAAAAAATGTTACAAATGCTAGAAGAGAACAAATAAAATGATAACAAATATACTTATGTTTTATGAAAACTTTTGAAACTAACCTGACATATAAGAAGCGATCGCTAAAAGTAGAACGAAGAGTATTATAAAGACGATAGCGGTGCATTTCCACGAGCACCGTGAAGAGAGGCCCTTCCTGAAGTGGAACCTGGAAGCGGTCGGAGGGAAGTGGGTGGCCCTGAGGTTGTTCCTCACAGGCAGCACGGGCACCGGGGCTCCGAACGCGGGATGGGCCCGGTCGCCCCGATCCATCCTCTCCAGGGTGTTTTTGTCTTGTTTCCCCGGACTGCTGCACGACGAATTCGACTTGTAATCCATTGAAGGATTTTTTTGGATGTCTCCTAAAAAAATATGAATTACGTTAGGGGTATTATCTCATATGTATTGTAAACACTCTATCGTTCAGTACGTAAGCTTTCCTTTTTATTTTAGAAATATATTTTTTTTTACTGGCCTGTAGGCAGACGAGCATACGGCCCACCTAACGGTGAGTGGTTACCGCCGCCCATGGACTTCAGCAATGCCAGGGGCAGAGCCAAGCCGCTGCCTACCGCTTAATACTCTCCACAAGCCTCTTTGATTTTAAAATCGACTATACGAATATATTTTACAAATTCTATTACAGCTACGTCCAGACGGATAGGTGAGCTCACGTGCTCAACCCGAGAGAATTTGCTAACACTAGCCCTAGCAAGGTGCTTTGCAGAATCTGAGAAGATCCAGCGAAAAACTCAGTGGGCTTGCGTTTATGGGTAGGGGAAGTTCGTCGAGTTACGTTTTATGGAGAACATGTCACAAATCTGCAGAAAAGAAGGAGGCGTCTCATTCACGTGCGGCACAGTGCATGTCAAAATGAATCTATGGAAACGGATTGGTGGTGCAGAGTAATTGTATCTGGATACGTATACAGATGTTTACATTGTTGGGAGACTGTTTAAACCAAACAATGTTCTAAAGTTTAGCAGATCTAAAGTGTATATAATGTATAATATATTACTTGCAAACATTACTTGTAGTGCCAACGCCTTTGAAATTCTTAGAGATGAAAAAAAATCGCTTAAAAAAGATCACACAAAACGGGTTTTATTTTAACATAAATGTGGCTCTGACGTCGAGAGTAGTGCGAAAATATTGTTACGCCGAAGAGTAACGCCATCTATCGCCGAATAGTCGAACGAATATCAAAGGATCTAGTAGCACCTAGAACGCTCGAGAAGTACAACGCCATCTATTGTCAGATAGTGGAAACATAATACTAGAGATGTGTGGCGTATTTTCGATAATTCTAGGGATGAGGTATCGGCTATAAAAGCGTTGCAGGGCTGGCACGCAGTCAGTTAGTAATCAGACCTACTCGAAGCCAAGCAGCGAACGGATCACCTGAAGCGAACCGGAAGAAGCGAATTGAGAATATTAAAGTGTTTGTGAAGTGTTTAAGTGTTTTAAATGTTGAATACAGTTTTTAAGTTGTACTTTGGTGGAATTTTATTTATCCCGAATCCCAGCGCGTAACAATATTCAGCAATTGACAACTCGAGACTTTGGATTTTGTCAAATTGGTACTGACTAAATTTGCTTGTTGCTTAGTTTAATCGATTATACCTGAAGGCACGTAGAAGTTTCCCGAAGGTGTGCGGACCAAACACGACGGTTCGAAGTCAGCGAGGTCGGCGGGGTTGCCCGTTATGCGGCCGTTCAGCCGAGATATGGTCGGGTTTCTGGGTGGCACATCGGGCGGTAGCCGGGAACCTTCAAGAAGACAACCTAAAACAAAACGAAACTTACATTTTAATGACGACGATTTTAGTATATTTAACTGCCTAAGAGACGTTGACCTCGGAAACCATGTTTCGTCTGCTTAATCCTATTAATCCCTTTAAGACTTTGGGATTGGTGACTCAGGATCGGTGACTTAATTTATCCAGAAATAAACGGGGCATATAAACCCATCTTCGTATATGCTTAACAGCAGCAAAGTCGTGTTTCTATACCGACCCATTACTCAGATTTTTGAGGGTAACAATTTGTTTTACAATTAACTAACTTTGTTTGCATTTCTTCTCATTAACGATGATATAGTCTAACGACATGATTACATTTAATGAATACAGGCACATTACACATAAACAATTTAAAGAAATCTGATTCACGTTTTAGAAGCGGGTTAATGCAAAATTGGTTACTTTATCAAAGGCTAAGTACCTTTAACTCTGGCGGAAGCCGTGCCTCGTTTGTAAAGTTAAAGGACTTTAACAAAATTAATCAGGTGACTGGCGAGGCTCGTAGAAAGCATTACAGCGGGGAAAAATTTAATTAATTCCATCCACGAAAATTTACAAGTCGAAATTCAATTAAGGGCGAATATTCCTCACCTTAATGGGCCGAAAACAAATATCGCGGAGCCATGCAAATGGATCAAAGATCGCGTGTTGCCTCTAAACGAAATATATTGGATAGAGGCGCTCGGGCGCGGCCGCCTCTCCTATCTCTAATATAACTTAATGGAAAATCGAAGTATTATCTGCTCCCCCCCGACTTCAACGCTTATCGGCCCACTCTAGCATCCAACTTTTGATCCTCGACAAATTTTAAGGATTCCTTTGAGCGATAATTAATTTATTGTGCGTCCTGATGTTGCCGCAAGAAAACTCAATTAATTTTAAAAGGGTTTTTGTGTTGTTTTTTTCGCGACCATTCCCTTCGCCCGCCGGAAAGAAAATGGCGAGGTTCCCGATAATATCGTAGGCCTTTGTGGCCGCCCTTTGATAACGTTCCATTCGCGGTAATTAGAGATTAATGAATTTATTCTCGCGTACCCTCCAAACTGCGAACTATGACGTATACCTAATGGCTTCTTCCTCCGCACCTTGTCTTCTGAAGGGTCTCATTCCCTACAACGCCTTTAATTACTAAGTGATTTATGTCTACCAAGATATTTTAATGGTTTACCACTTTAATGAAAATGAACTTTTCTGTATTGTTTTAAAAATAATAGACAGCTTAGCTTTTCTTTGGCTATTCCTATGGGATATATATAAAAAAAAGTTGTGTTGATTGTACATTAAAAACAAGTAAAATTTTAAATAATTACATAATAATATTTAAACCTTTCCACGCAACGAACCGTATAAGCGACAACAAAGCGAGAAGTATCAGTTCAATTATTATTTTAATTAATCTGGCAACTCCTTAAATCCAATCTAAATACGGCAATTAGTTTGAAACATCCGACGTCTAAGAATAATGAGAGTGCGCTCGTCCGATCCGGCTCGACGCTGCCGTCAATGAAAAAACTAAATCACCAAATCCCTTACCTAATNTCCACGCAACGAACCGTATAAGCGACAACAAAGCGAGAAGTATCAGTTCAATTATTATTTTAATTAATCTGGCAACTCCTTAAATCCAATCTAAATACGGCAATTAGTTTGAAACATCCGACGTCTAAGAATAATGAGAGTGCGCTCGTCCGATCCGGCTCGACGCTGCCGTCAATGAAAAAACTAAATCACCAAATCCCTTACCTAATTTAAGAGGACAAGCGTAGTCATTAATACACACGTCACTCGTCGTGCTACTACAAAATGTGGCCCATTTATATCCCGTCGCCGGCGCTGGGAATTATGGTAATCGGACGAGTCGTGTCCTTTGTCTGTAATGGTGGGTAATTACCGAGCACCTCCGGGGCGCTCCTGCGCTTGAGGGGCCCGAGGGCGGACAGAATTCGACACTCGTTACGGGAATCGTCGCAACTTTAAAAATGGGAACACGATTTTGAATGTCGCCGCGGGATTTGTCTTCGGTTACCGCAACGAGCTCGTCTAAGCGGCTCTTTTTCTAGATACGTTCGCGCAAATCCAGCAAATATACTAAACTTAAAATGTATACTGCCCCTTATTTATGAAGGTTCGATCAGGCACGAAGCTGTATTACAATCGGATCTACTATCCATATTCCAGTACGTTTATTTTTATATACTTTCGTACCATCTGGCATCGGATCTCGACGTACCGTATTTTCGTGGAAAGAAAACCAAAGCTTACTTATTGGAAGATAAAGGGGGTGTGTTTCGGTTCATTTGAGTCCGAGCTCGGGCCTGATCTGACGTGATTTCTTATTGGAGGGAAGCTGCCTTGTAATAGAGTAACCGCGGTTTTCCGGATGAGCGCACAGTCCTAGCTAATCCCAGCGCTACTTTTTCAAACGAGATTAATGCCCGTATTTGTTTTAGATAAATGTTAGCTTCGTACCATTTCTTTTGCGTATCGTACCGAGAAAAATTCGAACTAAAACAGATTTTAATTTGTCCCCTTGGAATTTTACAAAGGTTGTGAAAAAGGCAGCACTTATCAGCCTTCTGACGAAAGTTTCAAGATAACTTTATGAAGCTAAGGAGACATTTACTTCGCAAATGTCACAGTCAGCCGCGAACTGTCAAGAATATATCTCTCAGGAGGTACTTTCATAACTGAGACATTGATGTATGAGAGTTTTGCGAGTGTGTGGGTCGCACACTGATACAAATGAGATACATTTGGGCAATCCCGAGTAGAGACGCGGCAACACGTGCCCACAATCTTAAACTCGTTACGGGAACGTTCCTGAAGCAATTTAGAATTTACCCTTAATCTTGATTCGAACTGGAATAGAGAATGCGCACACGAGAATCATTATTTATGTAGATTAATATCTGGGGCGAGTGTATTGAGTTCGATAGTGGCCCAGGACCGGCGGCGCGATGTGTGTCGTCGTCGGATTCCCGGTAAATTTTAAATTTAGCACCCAAGTTCGGCAGCGGCGCCCCGAGTATTTGTATGAGGGACGACTCCGCGATTTATAGTTTGGGAAACAATCGGAAACTTGGTCCGGCGTCGGCGTGACTTCGTTTTAATTAGTACCCATTCACGGCTGAACAATCGGCGCCTCCCGACGAATCCATTATCGGGAACTTTTCGATAGTCGAAAGAGGTGTATCCGAAGTTCCTGATCGGCAAGGGATCAGCTTTTGTGGACCTTTACACAGGGGCGACGTCGGACTCGAGATTCCATCTATTGTGAGAGCCAGAAAATACTGCTCAATGAAATTCGATTTCTCTTTTTCATCACATTATTTCCTTCAGACCGCTGTAGATTTTTGTTCGAGATGAATTTCGTTCGCTTTCGGATTATTGGATACAATGCTTTTTCTGTTATACTGCTTGAAAGATACATAAAGAATTATGATCTTCAAAATAATAAAAGGTTAATTTTATCAGAAATATAACGAAAAATTCGATGGGTTTGTTGGTCAATGATTCTTTTTTTTATTGCTTTAAATATAAGTTCTAAGGTCTCCGTATAGTTACAAAGCCTGCCCCACCCTTCAAACCGAAACGCATTATATGTTCACGGCAGAAATGGGCAGGGTGGTACCTATCCGTGCGGACTCACAAGAGGTCCTACCACCTGCTTGAAACGCGCTAATTCCGAACCAGTATTTTACATTATATTTTGTTTTATCTAATCTGTTCATTCTAAGCATAAGATAGATACGAAATTCATTCGGGTGTTTGTCTGTGCGTCTGTACAACAAAATCTCACAAGATGTTCAGAACCTACATAAACATAGATTTAAGAAAACTATTAAAGAACATCTGTGCAATAAAGCTTACTATAAAGTCAATGATTATCTTGAAGATTGCACAAAGTGGGAATGAGTTGCTCGTTCCGGGCATTTCAATATTGCAATAATTGTTACGTTATAATACTCATTGTAAAAATTAATATTTAAAAAAAATCTAATATTTAAACTTATTTATCTAATATTTAAAAAAAAAAATGACAGGCCCGCTGAGTTTCTTGCCAATTCTTCTCAGGACGGAGGCTAGTTTTTGTGAATTGGCGGTAGTTCTTTTGACGTTCAACAAGTATGTACTTTCATTTATGTTGAATAAACTTTTTTTGATTTGATTTGATTTGATAAGTCAATTTCGATTTGAACCAAAATACGAATAATCATCAGGGGTACGTTTTATTAATGGTAGAGACCGTGGATTGACGTTTTCTGTTCGCAGGCTCCGGCAACACGTGAAAAGGCCCATTTAAATGGAGTTATTCGTACATTTTAATCGACAGAGCACGGTCGGTCGCATCCCAATGTGTTTCGTATACATCGCTCCGTGTTAAAGGATCTGTTTAATTTGATTGATTGACTTCATTATGCACATATATATTAGTGCGTATTCATTTGGTGTGAATATATATTAAGTATAGGTTCTAAACAGTTTCAACAGTTTCCGAAGTGGAATTCTAACACAAGCGGAGAACAATGCGGGTTGCTAGGCGTACATTTTTTTTTTGTTCGCATATGTAAAGTCTTCACCTTTAGTTATTGTCGCCTCAAAATTTTGATCTATGTGTGTTATAATTTCTTTTTATTAACACGCTGTTTTCAGTTTGGTATATATGTATGTTTGTTTGTGGAACTCTAACACAAGCGGAGAACAATGCTTGTTGCAAGGCGTAAATTTTTTTTTTTTCTAATTTGTAAATTCTTCGCCTTTCGTTATTGTCGCCTCAAGATTTTGATTCGTCTGTGTGTTATAATTTCCTTTTATTAACACGCTGTTTTTAGCTTGGTATATATATGTATGTTTGTTTGTATGTAACGAAATATTGGCCGTCATTTTCGCCAACGAAAAATCAAAGTCCGATCAATTTGAAAATTTGCACAGGCTTCGAGGATCGATGGCTACACCACAATGTTATATTTTCCTTGTAGTAGC